AGGAAAACTTGAAATCGCATCATATGACCCCTTTAAAAAAATACAAGCTTCTGCTGAGAATCAAAGTGTTAGATTCATGAGAAGAGTGTACAAACCCATCGCAGACAGGACAAAGAGTCAGTATTGGCTTGGTTTGACATGATATCTATTAAAGCCTTGGCTGTGTCTGAGAACTTCTTCTTAAGCACTGCCACAGGCATCCTTGAAAAGATGAGCAGAACATGTACTGATTTAGATTAACAGCTAAGGCAATCCGAATTCCTTCCTATGCTGTTGTTTATTTGACTCATGACACGCCACCCACCTTTTCATGACCAGGTTTAGGAGGTAGGCAACAGCTGCCAGAGATTCACTGCTGTCTACAGCTTCGAGTGTTGTCATCTGCCAATTGAAAATTGCAAAATGAAAAGACATTCATAGATTGATCCACAGAAAGCGCACTTTTAAGCATTTCGACACAACCAAGTCGGTATGAAACAAATTGATTTCATGGTGACTTTAATTTACCAAGGCTGCAAAGTACTCCGTCTCTGTCTCCTTTCCTCCCTGAGACCGAATCACTTCGGTTACAGCCGCCAATACAGCACAGATCTGTAGAAAATTAAGATATTCATTATACATGATGTGGTTTCAACTTAAAGGAATATTATAAAAAATATAATTAAGTAAATTCCTCTCCCTTAGGCAATCCAAAATGTAGACAAGTTTTTCTTCATCAGAACAGATTTAGAGAAATGTAGTATTAATTCACTTGCTCACCAATGGATTATCTGCAGTGAATGGGTGTTGTCAGAATGAGTCCAAACAGCTGACAAAAACATCACAATAACCCACATGACTCCACTTCATGTTTGTAATAAACAAATGGATCAAGACATTTTTTAACTAAAAAATATTGCTTCCAGCTAAAATATTGCTTTATCCAGTGAAAAGGTAATCTCACCTGAATCAAGACAGAAGTATGCACAGATGAAGCACTGTTTAAAAGCAAAAACAGTCCAAAACAGTTCTATGCAAACATATCAGTGGATTTTTGATGGGAGAGGACAACGGGGAATGGACCTTTTCACTGAAGGAAACATTATTATGGATTATGGATAGGTAGGTCAGAAGCGAATGTTTAAAGATAATGCCTTAATAATGGATTTTTTTCTTACTAACATGCAGATTTTCACTTCATAAGACATTAATGGATAGACTGGAGTTGTGTGTAATAATTGTGGATTATTGTGATGTTTTTGTCAGCTGTTTGAACTCTCATTCTAATGGCACCCATTCATTCACTCACCCACTGGTGAGCAAGTGATGTAATGCAAAATTTCTCCAAATCTGT